GCAGAGGTGCCATGGCTACAAAAGTATCTAGCTTTTTTAGCATATTCGTTCAAAACAGAGGGCATTCGTGCTTCATCCCATATCTTATCATGATGATTGGTGAGGTCACATATTTGACCTGACTTCACTTCTCAGATGTAAAATCCTAGAGTCATGAACTGTTGGCACTTATAATCCCATTCATTAATCATTACACCCAATTCAGACTTATAGGAGATAATCTATAGGAATGACAAGATTGCAGTTTTTAGAGGCATTAAAACTGAACTTGACTGACATGACATTGTGACCTGACAAGGTGACCTGTGCTTGATTTTTATGCCCGATGCAAAATTGATATACCTACAATAAGATATACCGCTGTTTTCGTGGCGCTGCGCGCCGAGGTTTTTCTCAACACACACATGCAAAGAAACGGGAGTGTGGCTAAAAACACCCCTACCCATCAAGACGAAGACCGGCAACCCGACCCCCCCCCCCCCCCCCCCACTTATAAATCCGTGGCAACGTCCCTGCCTGATACATAATGTTAAAGTTTATCAATTTTTTTGTCTGTAGTTATTCAATAGTGCATTGATTCGGACGTAATTTCGAAAATTTTGAAATGTTCGATAATTTTTTCTTCAACGAAAATTGCTTTGAAAAAAGGCATTTCAAAGTGAATACAAATATTGTAGTTAAACAAATGGTAGCTATAACATGATAGCTTAGGATGTAAACAACAGCATGCAATTTAATTATACGAGTATGTATAGGTCTATGTGCTTTCTGCTTTCACTGATCAGTCTAGTCTAGAAGCGCTTACAGATCCAGTCAACCCTTTTCCGAATATTCAACCCTTACAGATAGCCGAGTCATGCGTCGCCTCATTTTCTGAACGCCGATCGACCGTCAACATTCACAGATCCACCTGGTCCTTTATCGCATGGTCCAGTTGCTCTCGACCCGAGTGCCGTGCTGACTGACACGTGTCACAGTGTCCCCCGTCCACCCCCGCTGGGCGCCGGCCGTCCGGCCGCGGCCGCCGCACAATGGGCCTGGGACGCCCCTGTCGACCGCGCCACTCCTATTGTCCGACAGGGCGGCGTCTGCCGGCCGTCCAGCCGTCCGTCATCCTTCCCTTTGCGGAACGGTAGGCGGGACGCGCGGCCGGTCGCCGCCGGACGCCCCCGCCAGGACAGGAAGGGACCGTGCCGACCGACACGCCAACAGGGCCACCGATAGAAACATAATCGCTGTTTGGCATCTCTATAAATACCTGACGTTCTTGGATTGACTGCGCCACAATGCGCTGTTGGTCGACTGGCCGGGCAGTGGGGGCCGGGGAGGGGGCACAGGAAGGGTATTATCTGCCGATGCGGTCGGACGGCAGTGCGGAGGGCAGAGTTAATCTGGGTCTGACCTGGCAGCCCGTCAGTGCTGTGTGTGTGCCGAGTGACAGCTGCCGCGAATAACATGACTCGGGGAGACGTGTTCGTCCCTGGCCTCCCACGCACTGTGGCCTGCTGACGCAGGCGGAGGGGTCGGCTGATCTGCCGTCGGTCGTCCGTGGTCGTCCGTCTTCTGTTTACCGTACCGTACAGAGATGAACGACGCGACGGTCTGACCTGTTCAGCCGAGCATAGCTAGTGCGCTGCTATCACACAGCGTCGACTGCTGGTCTGCCACCTGTTTGACCTAACCAGTGATCAGCTCCTTAATCCGGATGTGTACTTACAAAACAATATTGCATCTGTGAAAAAAAAACACCCTGCAGATCATCCTAACTGTTAGCAGATTATTTCTTGGTCAATAGACTTGCTTTCTTCCAATTTGAACACTCGCAGTGCCTGGCGACTAATTGCAGTATAGCGGCGGAAGACCTTCAATTAAGGGGGCACTGACAACTTTGGTCCCATTCTTTCCATGCAACACCCATAGGGCTAATGTTAAAATGGCAAAACTAAGGAGGGGGGGGGGGCACGGTGCTCAGGTGCCCCCCCCCCCGATCCACCGCCTATGCATAAGTGGCTAAACTGGTGGGATGGGTAGCCTTACGAGTATTTAAGCCACATGGGTCGAGGGGGAGCCGATTTCCTCAGACAAACAGAGCTCATCAGTTAGAGATCCTGTGGTTTGCTGGCACAATCAGACGCCTCCGTGCCTCTGATGCCTCTGAGGAAACGTCCGATTGCAGCTGTTTCAGCAGCACAGTCAAACAAAATTTGGATAAACATAGTTAGCATGAGCACAGTCAGCTGTCAGACGTCACCATGGCTACCATAGCGTACATACACAGCACAGACGTCAGTGCGGTTAAAATAGCACATGCAAGACGTCACCACTACTACCATAGCGCAGGGAGACGTCATTACGGTTAATATAGCGCCATCACCACGGCTACCACAGAGCGCACTTCGACGTCATTGCGTCTACCATAGCGCACCCAGACGTCACCGTGACCAGCCTGGCGCATTCAGACGTCATGCCAAGCGGTAATCCTGCGTACAGACCTAACACAGGTGCGGACTCGGGCGGATTCCCGCCGTCTCTCGTCTGTCGGGGGCTAATCCGCGCCCGCTGGGCAGGCGGAACCGCTCCTGATGGCCCCCGCAACCGGCGAGCAACTCGGGTAAAGGCGACCCAGCCGGCGCGGCGGGCGAGGGGGCTGCTTCTGGGTGCCTGCCGTTTCGGTGGGCTAGACTTTCGCTGCTGGGGGTGATGGTCTTGGACGAAATGCTAACAAGTATGTTCATTATATTACAGGGCTAGTCTGACGGGCGTCACAATGTACAAAAATGCCCGTTTTTATGGATCTTTTAGATGGAAGAAACTTGGTACCTAAGCGATGTTGGTATTCTTATTGGCACTTCTTCTTGCCTCCAGAGCTCACATTATTTTGGGAAGAATGTGAGTTGTGTATATTTATCAATCACTTCTTTCTTTTTTACTTGACATCTTCTGCCAGGTGTCAATATTTTTAGGTAGGTATTTACGGTAACGGATGCATTAATGTGTTCATTTCACATTGTTTCCTGTTCAATTTCAAGCAGGTATGGCATTTCCAATTGTGGCTAGCGATAAAAACGGTAACCACAATTACCATTTATCACGCAGATAAAAAACGACATGATCATTCTGTTTCATATGAATTGATGGCACTAATTCACATTCCATGTGTAACAAACTCCATGCGTAAGGAGCTTACACAATATTTTTACGAGACATTGTGCGAGTATCAGCCATCAAGTACGGCCTGCCTCACTGGCATGACGTTATCATTCCACCGGATTTTTAACCGAAATCCACTTCTTTTACGTGATACGTCAAAGTGAGTAATGATTATTTGATTTTCCGGGATGACTAAGAATGTGTTAAAATCTCGAAGCTACACATTTGCGGTAATGAATTGTCACAACTCGCCAACCAATGACCAATGAGCATTGATAACATTTCATGCAGCGGCCAGCCATTTCCTCTAATAAGACACCTTACATGTCGCTATCTCTGCCATCCATTTTGCACCTTTATCGATTACCTGTGACTGCGCACCTGACACTTCGTGTCCTGACTCGTGACATTCCTGCCTGCTGGTGGTGGCGGTGGTGGTAAGCTACGTGGTAGGATTACGTGGCGTTTTACCCAAAGCCGATAACCAGGTTGATGTGGTGATCGCTGGGACCGCGGTCGCGTCGTGGGTTCGTGGTGAGCGCTCGTGAACCATCCCACGCCTCCCTGGCACTGTGGGGCCGAACTGGCTGGCTTCTGATTGGGAGGCGTGCATACCGGCCCAGTGTGGGTAAGGTCATCACTACCTGCAAACACACGGCACCAGTCCGGTTGTAGGCTGTAGCCATGGCCGTCATTACGCCGCCCCCCCCCCCTCCACCACCTTACGTCGTCGCTTTCAGCTCTCACATTCGGTCTATCCATCCGCCCCCAGCATCCGATCTCGCTCCATCATCGCTTCCACCACTGACTTCCTGTCACCGTCTCCACCAGCACCAGGCTTATTTTACCATCACTTTTTCCACCGTCTACCTCAATAATCAGCATCCCTGGGTCAACTCAGCTCCCGTATACCTACCCCATCAGCCTAACCGCTAAAGCACACCCACGAGAACCGACATGGTCGCCTGCAACTTCCCTCAGCTTATTCCAATATCCGTGTTCGATTCACAGCATCAATAGTACTTGTTTGTTACCCTTCTCGAGATCCCAAGTGCATGGCCGGCATCGCGCTCACCATTCATAGATATGTTTTCATGCCCTATAATTAGGATATGGGTGAGATATAAAAGGAGAGTTTATTAGGAGAGCCATGGATGTTTGTAGTTCTCGTCACAGACTCCCTTTAGGCTTCTGAATTGCTTACGATTAAATATTACAATTTTAGACGGCCAGACGATTCGGAATAAGCCACACCTCCGCTTCATGTGAATATGCATTTCCGAAAGCAGCTTTTAAAATGTGTTGCTGATTTATTTAGTAGTTATGTAGAATTGTTTGGAGCAATCGTTCCGCAAACACATAATCGTAAATCTGAAAACACATGCCGCCAAGCTCTGCTACCCAACTATAATCACAGTGGCATTGTCCCATTTACTTCACATCCATTGTGCCTCCTGTCACATAACTCACTCAATAAGTATGTTTCTTACTTGGATCCCGGCAACCTTCCTTCTCCTACACCGAAAAATAAAATATCCGCCGCGACAAAATAGCGCCTTTGCTGTGAACTGCGGCGCCCCGCCCGGAATTCCAGCGATGTCCTGGGTCAGTGCCGCGGTCGCCGCCGCCGCCGCCGTCGTTTCACGGCTGCCGGTCGGCGCGCGGCGGCGGCCCCCAGTTGCGCAACATACATAGGCCCGCGGCGCTGGGCCGGCGCCCGTCTGGGCCGGCAATCAATCGTGGGGGCGGAGTAGGGGGCGGTCCGACAGGTCACGTGACCTCCGCTGGAGGCGGGGCGACGCGGCACCCTACTGCGCATGAGCGGGCGCCGGGGCCGGTGAGAGGCGGGCTCAGTTGCGCGCGAGCTGCGGCGCGAGGGTGGTCTGTGCGGCGTGTGATTTCGGTCCGGTATTAGCGCCTCGTAGTGGGTCTGAAATGGTGATGGAACAGCCTCCCGGTAAGTACTGGCGAGGTGTAACGCCATCAGCCTTGTGGAACCAGGTCCGACCGGGAATTCTCACGCCTGCGTGCCTTCCGCCTTCGCCGCGCAGAGAATGGAGGACCCGTGGGAATGGGAACACGACCATTACGTCCACAGTGCTCCTTAGTGTGGCCGGTCCAACTAAGCCACTCACTCCAAATCTAGCGAATTGGATGCGTTTAGTAAACCGATAGTGCCGAGTGCGGTTTGTTCACCTGTAGCGTCATTGTTGCAATTGCAGCCGGCCGGCGGCGGCGGCGGGTCGGGGATTACGCGCTCCTCCCGACCGCCACGCCGCGCCGGGCCGACGAGTGGCCGCTGCGGTCGGGGCTAGGAACTGTGGGAGCATCGATGTGTTCGGGTTGTGAGCGTTCTTTGCTGCAATTTTGTGCACGTTGTGCACTTGATTGATTTGTCGAAACGATGCGTAGATGATGTTTGGGCTAATGAAATACGTAAATAAGTACATAATAGCTGGCATCGTCTAAAAGCTTATTAGACAATAGCAAATATGGCGAGTATGATATCGTTGGGGCATGTCAGAATCGCTGAGCACGTATAATTAAATAGCGATGCTTTAATTAACTAACGCCTAACGCTGATCTCATAAAGAACTTTGAGGACATTTTTAAGCCTGTAGGATCCATTTCATGACAGAATAACACAACAGCTCCGCACCCACGTAATTGTTTTTACAATAAGGTCAGGCTATCGCACCTTCTTCGCACCATTTCGACGGTGTGGCTTATATCAGGTACCGATTTCTGTCATGCTCGATTCCCATGCAATCAACGTTTCAATATAAAGCTAGGGCGACTTCCCTCAGACATGTGTTGCTAACAGCGAAACAATCTGAGATCTAAGTAACATTTTATTCCACAGTACGAAATTCAATGCAATGTCAGCAATGCTGCTAACTAAATTACCTATGACTAATTTAACTGAGGTGCCGTGGATGTTATGAATCTGAGAGAAGCCACCTTGAGCTCCAAAAAATCAAGGCATTGAACAGCTGCATGTGAACATCATAATTAGTATTATATCGTTTTGTTCTGTGGACATTGTTCTACGGCTCTCCATTTTTTAATGATAAGCCGAAATGTTCCTAATATTTGTTTATATGTAATTTATGTAATTTTGGTGAGACACAACGTGCAACATATTTTACTTTCGTGCAGCGGATTTACAGCGAAGATAGGAAGCACGACACCGGAAGGGTAAACAGCATTCAGAGCTAATGATCCGGCTCTCAGCCTCTCCTAGGATTCCGGGAGCATACATTACCAAGCTGTGCAAATAGTTCCCTTACTCCCAAGCACGAAATCCGCATCATGCGCTGCTTGCAGATATACCAAAATCACGTACCTATGTTCCAACTCCCAGCTTCCGCGGCAAAGCTTTGTTTCTAATTATCCGCTACCACGGAACAGTCCTTACATCTTTGCTACCGTCATGTCTGCTGACGTGTCACTCTAATTAGTTTGTTATGGAGCAGCGATATTCCGCATCCCCACAATCCATGTAAACGATGCTGCTCTTTCCAGTGTCCCAAAATTTGTAGATGTAGGTGGGAAACGACATCCAAATGAAAATCATTTTCCACTCTCACCTCCAGTTTTCAAGCCCAATTTTCCACTCCCAATTCCACCGAGAAGGAGCAATTGCGGGAATGGTTGTTTTGCATCTGTCACAATTGTAGATAGATTAATGTTTTTGATCATTTTCCCACTCTTTTTGGGTCTTACCTGACCGACAATTTTTCACTCTCATCCTTTTTTGGTCAGCTATTTTCCCCTCTGACACCCAAGCAAAAATATGATTTTGGTACACTGGCTCTTTCGAACTAACGACAGTCGCGTATTTAATCTTTCGCGCGGTTCACGCTCCTCAGTATTAACCTCTCCTGACGAAATGCCGCCGCATTGTCCGCATTCACGAATTCTTGTTACTGTTTCTATCTTTCATACGGCTATGATGTAGACCTGCATGCGCTTCACGTGCCCCTGTTGTCACTTAGCCGGCCACATTTGCTTTCTTATTCCTCCCATGACTCCTTGTCGTATCTCTGTTGTTGTTTAGTGTTTGTACCAGGTACCCTCATATATTTCGTGTATCTTTGGCATCTATCCCATGTTCCCCGGCTATCTCGGATGTTTTACCTCTACTTAGGCCATCGACGTTTCCTCTTTTCGGCCTCATATTTATGAGAAACATGTATTAGTATAACACCTGTATTTCGAGGAGCCAGAGGCAGTGATGTGTTTACGTTTTGACATCTGAGCCTCCAGTGCTCTAGCGTTTCGCAGTTCGCTTGTTTCGTGATTCAAATGATAAATTCCATCTTGCACCAGCGTATCTTAATTCATAATATTTGTTCTGTTTTCGACAGTCTTCAAAGCTAACTGTAAAACACAACTGGAACACAACTGGAAAACTATTTAACTATTTTAGTTTCAGGCTTTTTCTTAAGAATTTCCGTCCCGGTATAAATGTTCAGTTGATAGAGTGTGTAATGAATTTGATTGAGTTTTGAATAAAGCATACTCATTCCTTTGGGCAATTCGTCATTGCTATATGATTAGATCTATAAGAACATAGTCGCTTCAGTTCTATCGATTATTTGGTCCTTTCTGGAGACCGAAGTCCCGTTCCAATCTGTGAACAATCGCACTTAATTCGGTCATCTCAGCATGGCGTCAGGTGCTGGAAAGTGTGTGTATTTATAGAAACTACCCGATGTGGGCGACGATAGGTGCTTAGTTTTTAGACTGGACGGCTGCAGTGACAACGGCACCCAGATAGAGCGATTATTGCCGTGCAGAAGGGACGGAGTTATACTGTTCCCTGGATGTTTCACTTTCTCTTTGAAATAGCTATATGTTTTAGCGTTTTTAGCATTAATTCTTATTTTGATTTATGTCTAAAATATTTATGTCGATGGAAACAAACCTTAGTCTTGTTCGAAGACAGCATGATATGATGTGTAATTACTAATTCTGGAATCTGCATTTTATGCTACATATATAAACTTGAGTAGCAAATTATCACAATGGTCATAATATTCCACTTACTGGTATTCATGTGATGGTGATGTCGTTTCTATGCGGTGTCCATTCGGTATCCATTCAGTTCCCCGTTCATTTTTGTCTTTTTTTTTAATTTTTTCACCTTCCCATCTTTATTCCTTTTCCTCACGTTTAAATCGATATTGTGGTGACTTTCAAACGTAATTTGTTGAATTGCTTTTCTGCGATTCGTAGACGGGCTGGACATCTTTCTCAAAGTCTATACGTCCGCCTTGTCGGGGTCACACAATAGGTGCATTTCTGCGGCCTCACAGGCTCACCGTACTCCGAAAGGATCACGTGGTAGACACCCGCCACTCGCCAATTTCAGAGGCCCAATTCTAGCCTGAGATTTGAGATGACTAGCTGCACAGTGTACACCGCTCTGTGTGGTTTCAAGAGGGTGCAAGAGGGTCCAAGAGATTTACACAACCCGAGCATAATATTCAGCCACGTGTAGACAAAAAAGACCATTTTCATTTTCCCCCGTTTCTTTTTATCCATAGGCTACTTACGAGGATATCAGGGACCAGTAGGTAAAGCAGTAGTTAGTCAATGATCTATCTTATCAGTTGATTTTGTTTGGTAACGACCAGTGTATTCCATATGCTTTATTCTGACCAGGAATGAACAGAGTTTTCTGAATGAATTAGACTTTTCACCAATGAAAATTCCAGACTTGGCATTGTCTCATGAAATGCGGTAGTTATTTGGTTCTATGAAGCTTACAAAGGTCCTCAGTTTACACCAACTGCTCTTCCTACTGACTGCCGGGCCACAGGTAGTCAGATGTAGGCTCTTTTTCACCTTGGGAGGGTCTGTAGCTACAGCTGGCGCCTAGCTGGGTCAGTTGTAGAGCCTTTGCCAGCCTGGCAAATGCCAACCTTGCGAAGTCCGTCCAAACAGTCCGAAGCTTGCCATTGTGAAAGCGAACGGGTACTCTGAAACAGAGTTGAAATACATAAGTGGAAAAGTGCTTGCTATATTGATTCTGATGTTTTGGAAAGAACATCACATAGTCGGTTGATAACAAAGAACCACCCACGACTCATGGTAGGCTAGCGTTATGACTTATATGATGTTTATTGTTTCAGTCAATTCCCTGCCTTTTTATGAAAAAGCATGCATGAAAATCAGCATGCCGTTTCGAGAGGTGTGGGTCAACTAGCATCAGAAACATGATCAGTGAGAATCACAAGGACGGCAGCTAAGAACACGGCCACTGTCCACGAGACCGGACACAGCAGTTGCGGCGGAACACCTTCAGTTAAGGGGGGGGGGGGCACTGGCGACTTTTGGACCCATTCTTTCCATGCAACGCCCATAGGGCTAATGTTAAAAGGCCAAAGTCAAAGGGGGGCACGGTGCCCCGGTGCCCCCCCCCCCCGTTCCGCCGCCTATGGGACACAGAGAAAGGCCTGTTCCCGTACACCATTACTTATCTTGACTTTGTTAATTCAATTGCTAATTCTATTCATTTATCCCCTGTTCGATTGCCAGGTGGTTGAGATACTGCTTAGTGTTACCACAGAAGAATGAACATGAATCAAGTGCATTTCATGCATTAAATTCTGTTCAATCTTAGACGGCATCTTGTTACGTCTCACCATCTCCGTTGATCATGGCGGAGTTCCGTCTCTTGCCGAATTCCGATGATCTATATCTCACATGATCACGATCAAGTCCTCTCCCGACTGTCCCGGCAATCATGCCTGAGTCTGTCTTGTGACTCTCCCACATACGAGTACATGGCCAATTTCCACCAACCCCCGATTTCTCGACTTAGTTCGGTCTTCCCGTGCAGGATTGCCGCGCCACAACTCCGTCTTCCATATTAAAGTCATCTCTAACTCTCCCAAGTCTCCCACCGTCCTCCTACCGGCCGCACCGCGATATAAGCCAATAACTAAC